TGCACTCTGGCAAAACGTTAAAAACATGTGGTCTCCAGAAAAGAATATTTAAAACATTATTCTGTTGTAGTTGTTTTCTTAACAATTTACATGTGTGTTCTTTTTTGCATCCAGTTTGCACATTATCATTTGATATTTGCTGGAATAAATCTGCGATTGTAAACAATGAATTTGACTTGTATCATACCTCGACTTAAGTAGCATCCAAGAACTAACAATACTGAAAGGAACTCTTCCAGTGTTATTATTTAAACAAAATAGTACTTATATTGTACAACTGGAGTATAACGTTTGCAAACGATACTTATTTTACATCATGCTATTTTTTTCACTGTCAAATTGAGCCAAAATACTTACATATTCAAAACAAATTGACTATTATAATGGTCTTAAACCAATAATTGATAATGACTTACATTAAACATAAAATATAAAAACTGCATAAAATATAAAATGACTGCTCAACTCTTTTTATAAATTGAATGTTACCGATGATTTCAGACGGTTCATATTTATAGATATACATATAAGCCACGGGAGTTATTGATTGTTCAGGTGACGTTTATAACAAAAATCGAAAGATCTGCACAAGATTAACAATTGTAGAAGTATGGTGAACGGCATAATCATTTCTAACAATACCCTAAGCCTTCTAACATGCATCACACTCCATTGTCCTGTTTCTACAAGTATCAAATTTGAATTTATAGACATATGTACTTATAGATTTTAAAATGTTCTATAATGTCATATTTGCTACATTTTTGTTGCTTTTCCATAATCTTTATTTACAAAAATGTTTGATTCTGGTTTTTAAGCCAATTTTAACACATGTTTTTGTTCCCATCTGGGTGCAGACGACCCGCCAACCGTTTAAAACTGATTCCTCCGCAAGTGAAATGTCTTTTGTGGATAGGATGAAATTATATATTAAGAATTGACCACAAAACCATAAAAATATCTGTAACATACATTTACATAAAAGGGCTCTATTAAAACATGTGTTTATTTTAAACCACAAATGACGGATATTTAAAAAAGAGCTTAATTGTGAGCACTAAAATTTATTAGTATTACGTTAGGTAACGTTATATTATTTGGCACGGAAAGTGTAAAATTCGTGCTTGAATATTAAATGACTGTGGAAAAAATCTTACAGAGTGACTTGCTAACCGTAGTATGTACTGCATTGCCATGAACACATACACTGTGTAAATTTCTTATCGGCCACCCATATTTTGTTTAATTTTTTTGCCTCAGCAATGGGGATCGAGTAGGTAAAGAAAAACAAATACACCATCTAATTCAATTTATTTTGCATTTGGCATATTCGAATTGACATTTTACATCTTTACCACAGAACGTAACATTCGATTTTGTTTCCAATACAGTCACCCACTTATAATAAATTCATTTACCCGCTACAATATTTTACATATAAAGCAAAGAAGAAAATTCAAACTCGTGTATGCGTTTCCTAAATTTTGCATGATTTCATAAAAATCATAATTAAAACACATTCGTGAAAATAGCAGTGTTACTTTTTAAGACTTTATCCCTAAAAATGAGTATTAAGCTTTTAATGTCATATCCTGGAAACTGCGACAAGCAACATCTCATTTTATTTCAAATTCTGTTTGTTACTGTTTTCTGCGCTAAGGTAAAAATTTGCTAAAGTTTTATGCAGCAGAATTCACCCAAGGTTGATTTTGCGAATGATAAAAAGTCGAAATTATTTTAAACTTTCAATCATGATTAAAAATCAAATAAACAAAGAATGTTTGAAATTAATATGGTCTCAAAAGTCTTGTTTTTGAGTTATTTGCTCTTGATAAGAGTTAACAGAGCAACATTTATTTTTTCATTTATCTGTTTCAATTAATATCATTTATTTAATCTATGCATTATCAAACAAAAGAATGGTAGACAATATTCTGAGCATATTACCAGTTTCTGTTTTACTGCTTACAATTTTGGGATATCAATGAGTTCAAAGTATCTATTGATGTTTAACTCCTTACAATTTGGGGTATCAATGACTTCAAAGAACCTACTTCTGTTATAGCCGATATAAATGAGTTCAAAGTATCCAGTTTTGTTAACTCCTTGCAAGTTAGGTTTAAATGAGTTCAAAGTATCTATTGATGTTTAACTCCTTACAAAATTGGGTATCAATGAGAATGAGTTCAAAGTATTTATTTCTGATATAGCCCTTATAATTTGGGTATCGGTGAGTTCAAAGTGCCTTTTTGTCTTTTACTCATTACAATTTGGGGTATCAATGAGTTTCATGTATTTATTTCTGTTTTACTCTTTACAATTTTGGATATCAATGAGTTCAAAGAACCTTTATCTGTTTCCCCTTACCATTTGGAGTACATTGAATTCAAAGTGCCTATTTCTGTTTTACTCCTTACAGTTTTGTGATATTAATGACTTCAAAGTACCTTTTTCTTTTTTACCCTTTACAATTTGCGATATAAATGAGTTCTACACTTGGCAGGTATACTGAGCGATTGGACTCGGTGGTCATGCCTTAGAAATTATCATTCTTATGAAGAGCAAACAAGTTGTGTATCATATTCAAGAAATGAATTAAAGCATATAAGATATTAATATTTGGAAGTATGTACTAGTGAATGTGAAATGATTTGTCGTAAAATGTACAATGTTAACTTTTGTTAAAAACATTTATACACATTAAATGTACATATTGCCAGAAAGCAAATGAATCAAAAGATGGTTCTGTTTATGACAATAAGTGCATTTACGGAAATTGAAGCATGACACCTTGCAGAAATATCAATAGCTATAAGAACGCTGTGTAGAACGATAGTCCGGGCTTCCTAAAATCAGAATAGACCCCGACCTAGGTATTACTTAGTTTATTACGTAGACATATAGGAATACTTATTTAAGTATTTTTGTTTGAAACTATAGTGATCAAAGCTTGATATTTGACTTGTAGCACTGTCGGGTGAATTATTACAACTGTGTTGGAATAATGCATCTTGGATCAATATTTGCCCCAGTTCGGTGGACACTAAGGAAAACATATTTCAGTCTTTAAGTGTAAAAATAAAACTATTCAGAATTTAGATTGCATTGCTAAGTGCAACCTACAACCGTTACAAAGTTATTATTCTGGTGTAAAAATAGCTCTGTTCGTTAGAAGAGGGGAGTGGGTGAGGTCAATTTTATTACAAAGATTTCAATCGCCAACATGCTTTCAATCTTTTCCACTCCAAGCTTACAGTGTGCAGAGCACATGCGCAATTTGATTAATATGACATATGTTTAGATTTTTTTATGGAAATGATGTGTGTCACAACGCGTAGTCGACCAAAAATATTTTTTCCATCAAATAATAGGCAAGAACTTGGTAAATAGGCATGTAACATATAGATACGTCTCAAGGAAATGCTTTCCAATACAAAATGCAAAATATTTATGATTAACCTTAACATATACGTAGCAAGAGGAGACTATTTTACAGGGCTTTATTAAAAAGATTGATAAGATTATGTTTTGTTAATTGGAGATATTGCAACAAAAACTAACTCTGTAGCACGTAGATTATAAAAAAAACTAAGCTCAATCCTTATCTGACCCTCGCTATGAGTAAAAAAATGAATAAGTTGTGTTCAGCGGAGTGATAACTATTGCCGCAGGTCTTTTTAAAGACTTTGTTTTAATTATCTTTTTAACTCTACAATACTATAAGTCAAAACAAACTTTTATCAATTGAGTGGTTTTGATTGATGAAATGATTGATTACTTTATACTTTTTTATTTTTATTTGTTCGATTGTGTTTGATCTATAAGCTCATTGCAACACTTTTGTATTCGTTCCTGCAACCAAGCATTCTAAGCAAAGTGTAAAGCTTTTTGCTCAGGAAAACAACTGATTGACACTGACGGGGTTTGAACCAAAGCTGTCTGCAATCCTCCATTGAAAGATTGAGGGATTGGTTTAAATAAGTGAGTGAGTGAGTGAGTGAGTGAGTGAGTGAGTGAGTGAGTGAGTGAGTGAGTGAGTGAGTGAGTGAGTGAGTGAGTGAGTGAGTGAGTGAGTGAGTGAGTGAGTGTTTTCATATAAAAGACAAATCGCTTTTGGTTACTATAGTCTTGCTGCATTTGAATTTATTAAGCTCATTTTAAAACATACAGCATTTTACATCAACCTAATTACAATTTTCATTAGACAATTGTAATACGTATAAATTCTGAAAAAAGATAAAATTGAAGTCTAACAATAATTAATGTTATGAAAATGTGTGCAACGTGTTGCAAATATATAACACTTTGCAATGGTTATATCGACCAAAGAAGGGTTACTATCAGCTTTAGAACATTTTAAAGCGAGAAGGTGTTTTATCATTTGACAAATGACAAGGATTTATGCAATTGCTTAACATTGGAATTTTACAATCGATTATTTGACACTTGCACTAGCTGACTTGACAGTCTTGTTTTGTTTTTCGTCTCGGGAATGACGGGCGATATGATTTAAACAATGGATTGGCATTTTAGCCGTCCAGTTAGGTCAATAGGTAAAGCGTTGGACATTGAATCGGGCGACCCGGGTTTGATTTCCGGACGGCACATGTCACTTTCGTTGTGATTGATCATGAAATCCTTCCTACGGTCATTTGCAGTGTACCTCTGCTCTGACATGTACAAAAGTTTAAGTTCCTTGCGACAGTAAATGCAACTAGTACTGGTCAACTGCTTGACAGTCTGCCCAGGTGGTTGTAAATTGAATGTGGCTTAGTGTCGTGATCCGGAATGAAAACTACCTTCTAACAATAGAAGAATTTTTCACGTTTTACTGGCTTTCTGTACTGTAAGCACTTATACTTTACTAACAGTGAATGATACAAGTCAACTTCATTGGATATAATTGCAGATTTATTCAAGCAGATAATTATTAGCGATTCTTGTACAACTGGATGCATAAATTACAAACATGTAAATTAGAATACAACTAATGCAGTATAATGTTTTAAATATTTCTTTGGAGACCACATGTTTCTAACGTTTTGCCAGAGTGCTGTCTTGTTTCAAATACGTTTTTATTTGTTATAAACATGTATGGATATAGTCGGGTGTCTACGAGTATATTCGCAAAATTGTGAAAATAATTCAGATGATACATTAACGTTTGGAACGAGAATAACTTTTGTTTCAACAACTGTTGAACCAATGGACGTCTATGTTATATCAACTACATATTCTAAAATATCTATTTCTGAGCCAATTGTTGAAGTCGACTGAGCACTTATATCGGTAATGAGTTTGAATGACAAAAAATAAAGAAGTAAAATTCTTACAAGGTTTGGTTTTATTTGTTTACGAAAGCTTGTTAACTAAAATTATGCTAACGGACATGGTACGTTTTCTGCATACATTCCTTTATAATTGCCTGGAGGGGAATAGATGATTACCACACATTCTCCTGCTTTACCAACACCAATTTGAGTCGATTTTTTCCATACAATTTGAGTATAATGACCTATTAATGTAAAATAATCAAGATATAAACATATCCCACTACATGTCACTGTACATAACGGAAACAGAATCAAATTTGAGTACATTTAATATTTGTATTTTAAAGTTGTTTATAGGTATTATATTTATTTTACAGTTGTTGAGATACATTGTATGTATTTTATATTGTTGATAGGTATTATATTTATTTCATAGTTGTTGAGACACATTATATGTATTTTATCTATTTTATAGTTGTGAGAGACATAAAATGTGTTTTTCAAAGTTAAAAATTACCAAATTTTGATCTTAAATCCATATTTGGTTCTCCTCCACACCATTTATTTTCCGCATAAAATTGGGCTTCCTTTTTGTACAAATTATCGACATGTTGTGATCCTGAAAATTCTGAAAAGAACAATTGTTTGGTGAACCTGCCGTTTACATGCCATCATTATGATTTAAAATATTATAAACATAAGAGTTCCAGGCACTGGAACTTCACTAAGGTCTTATGACTAAAAACATCCAAAAAAATATTGTTTTTACATCGGTCAAATGGGGTAACTATTCGAAACAATATGATTGACATGATAACGACAAACAATTAGAATAAATCTAAAACTTATTAGTGCTACCTTTATCCCTATTTGTATTAGAAGCCTGTGAACGCTGTTCTTATTTTTCACAATGAAAAAAAACGTTAGCCAATTATCTGAAAATTTTGCACACAATTGTACAGAATCTGAACAAAATAAGCCAGTCCCATAATATAAATAAATCTCGGCGGAGTCCCTTTATCAACAATTTCAATAACAACATAGACTATTCCGATATTAAACTGTCTCTTTAACTGCAAAATGAGTGAGTTCTATTTAATATATAATTTTATGTATTTATTTACACCGTGTCATTCTAAATACGGTTATTCCTCGTGTTTTTAATGGTTATAGTTTTGGCGGTATTTATACACGATTTTAAGTGTAAGTTGATAATATATAGGCATTTGGGGCATTACGTTCACGCCGTCCATTTGTGAAATTTCTAAAAATGTTTCTAATATGTTTCATATATTACTAATTATCAAAAAAAATATGGATTTAACATTGTCTTAAACAGGTTTTTGATATTTTGTTTGTCAAATTGTCAGATTCTTTGTCTTCGTTTTTATATAGATGTACAATTCTAAATTGAGGGAAGATCAACATTGCCATGTTTTGATTTAAGCTGAATTTAATGCATTTCATGGAATTAATTGTTTTTCATTAGACTCAAAATTTGGGATATGGCAGACAGGCGATTGAAGCAGCCGCTGATCAGGAGCTTGGAGCTTTCAACCTCCCTCTCCAACAACGTAGTGTTGGGTAGCCCGCTCGCAGCAATTCTGACTTTGGCTTTTTCCAATTATATTAGATTTGTTTTTTTTAATTGCAAGTGATTAATGTAAACAAAAAAATTCTACATAACAACAAATTTTCTTCAAATTTATATGTTAGGCCATGGCCATGTTTAAACTTATGTCCCCACAAGAAAATTTTGGACTTGTGAGAGGCAAAAAATGACCCAGATCGATCATAAGGTAACGTGTAACCAACGCTGAAAAGCATTTGACTCTATCTCAATCCATCGAGAAAATGCAGCACTTTGAAATCAATTTTGATGGGAAAAATCAACTCAAAATAGTGATTTTTGGCAATTATGAGATGTCCCCTCGTTGCCATGGTAACAGGAAATTTAAACCTGGGCATGTTGTTACAAAGGCAATGTTCCAGTCAACATTTGTGCCAAGTTTGATTAGTATTGAAGCAGTTTTTATAGTTTTATAGCAATTTGAACTTGTAACGGGAGACTTTTCAATGAAAACAGCCATTTTTCACCAAATTCTCATGAAGTAATGGGTTAAATCATTAGCTTTGTTTGTTTCTGTCAAGCCCTATAGGTACCGATATATGCAATTAATCAAATATATTAATATTTACCGTAGGCAGAAGAGGACCACATCCACGATAGATTCATTCCATATTTTTCGTCTGGATTGTGCATGTAAACGTCATTCGTGAATAAATATATTGCCCAATTGTGTGCAAGTGCATTCATCTCAGCATTATCTGTGACATCGGGGACCTGCGTGTGTAAATAGATAGGGAATAATAGGTTGGTGCCGTGGATGGAGAAAGTTTATCTGGCGAGGCGGAGGAATTTATTGGGTGAGCAGAGCCAGACAAACTTTCTCCATTCACGGCACCAATCTATTATTCTATTTATCCTGTCACCGTTTTTTTAAAGAATTTTATTAGGCAAATCAAACTATCGGAAATGTTTCTATATAAACAAAGAAGGCCCTAATTTTTCTACAACAATGCACTCACCGTTCTTATTATCTCACTGTGTATTTTCACAGTGAGGGGGCCATTTTGTTTGAAAAATGTGATAAATAAAAACAATTTTTTGTCGAATTTTGTTGTGAAAACTATCTTGAATGAAAGAAAATGGTTTAACTAAGAAAATGAATTCGAACACCAATATCTTTTATTCAGTCGTTAACGCTGTACAGACGTTTTAAGTATTGTTTACGTGACGTCACAATGTAGCCCAAAACAGCACGTGCAAAACAATCGAATCAAGTACGCTATTTTAATGTCGCAAACGAGTTAAGTTTTACATTTATTTCACTTTTAATAATTTTCATTTCGCTTGAAAAATTATAGAGTGAAATAAAATAAACAAACAAAGTTTTATCAACGTTTTCCAAAATTCGTTATTCTACACAGAAGATTTAACGACATTTTTTATATTTTTTCTTGAAAAGTAGTCCGGCAAACATGCATACCACGTGATCAAGTGCCGTAGATCAGTAAAAATATACGGCACCTTGTTATCGGGCCGGAATTGATACAAGTGACAGGATAAAATACTTTTTAACTATCATGTAAAAGTTTTACACTATTTCTGTTTGCTGCATCAGATTATTACACCCACATACATTACTCATTAATAAAAAAAATCTGTAATATTCATTTCTCATTTACTCAATATTGTTTTCATTTCTTTATTTGCTGTTAGTTTAAATCATATAACAAACAATATTATAATGGCAAGGAAATACCTTTTCAAATAAATTATTTCACTCCGTCAGAACAGGAGAAAGGGCTTTAATTATGCAGCCTTATCATTCTTAAAAATCAATCACATGTTACGTTGTTTTTTATACATATTTCTACAAAATGACGAAGTATACACAAAGCTTGATCGAACCAAAGATTGAAATCATTCAAAATATTTGGATAACACTGCTTTTAAAACATTGGCCATTGTGTAATTGTAGTTTTATAAATTTAAACAAAGGCTGAGTTAACAGACTCACTCCATGAAGAGCTCTATAGACGTTATGTTGTTTCACGACGTCGGCTATGAAGTCTTTGTCTGCTTGCTGTAAATAGAGAATTTTGAATGACTGAATGTTCATTTATGAATTTACGTAACCTTGCGTTGATTCATGTTTAACTCGTTTTTTTCCAAGCCTGAAATTTGTTTGTTTTGCCCACTAGAAACATAGTGTTACCGCAACAATTGTTTTCAAGATTTATTAAACTCCTATCCACATCTTACATCTAGAAACATTTGCAAAATAAGTATTAAAAATTGTGTAAGTATTATTTCAAATAACAAAAAAGCTAGTAACATTTTATTAAATAAGCCATCCTTTTTTAAAACGGTGCATAAAAATTTCGTAATCATGTGCCAATAACAAACAAACATGTAATAGTAACGTAAAACTAAAGTGGTTATTGTGTGAATTAAATAATAAAATGTACTAGTCGATATTACATGTAAAAAATGTATTGAATGATGAAAAAGTCAATATTACTAACTCTTTTTTAGGATGGTTTTGTAGCATTTTTGAATACCTATTTAAAACAAATTCTATTTATATTTCTTTCTTATCCAATAGGCATACAATTGTTTCATTCTTTACACAACTATGGCCAAAATGTGTAAGAAATATTAGATTTAAGTATTTAATTAATTCAAAAGTAAAATAAATTAATTTACATTATCAGGATTATTATATTTTTGTTGATATATTCTTCAGATATATCATCATTATTTCCACTGCACAATTAAATGTATATAGAAATTTTGAATCTCAAATTTATTTATGTACAGCATATGTATAACAAAAACAAAATAACATCTAGATTCATTAACCATTGAAAATGGCCAAAAATAGCCGGAAAAAAAATCTAAAGAAAAAACATTTTTTATGTGTTATGTTTTTAATTAACAACATTATTTTTCTTTTTAAACATCGTTGTAAAGTAATGATAATGTACGTTTGTTAGGACTTTATTACAGAAAAAAATAGCATCAATTTATAACAATTTGTGGTATTCTTTATTTTCTCAATATGAGCGTACGTTTGTTTCACATATATTTGTAATTTTAATGTCCTTCAATAAATCATCGTAAGCTTGTGGATCAGGCATGCGCTCATAGCTTAAAATAAGGAAATGTATCCCCCAACATGACAATTATTAAAGGGGACCTATCGTCTAAAAATCATCATTTCTGATAACAAGTTATATATAATTTAGCAAAGTGTGAAAGTAAAAAACTTATAAGTTAGTTATTACAGGGCCTATTAAAATAGAAATATCCTTATCTTTTCCCGTCATAAATTTCAATTTTTTGTACCATAAAAACATTTTGTCATAAAATAAAAACTAAAATTGCCACTTTGGTACATATATGGGAAACCCATCGAATGCAGTTAAACCTATGTAGCAATTTAAAGTACCAAGAATAAGGTTTACAAAGTAAATGGCAATTTTTATCCCTTGCCGAAAGGCGGCGGGGGATATAGAAATAGTATCCGTCCGTCCTTCCGCCCGTCCGTCCGATTTTTTTGTCCGGAGAATATCTCAAAAAGTATTTGAGGTATCAACTTAAAACTTCATAGGTGGATAGATCATATTGAGTAGGAGTGCAGTGCACAGGAATGATAACTATACCTTGCATTATTTTTCAGTTATTGCCCTTTGTTATTTTGCAAACTTAATTTTTGTCCAGAGCAAAACTCAAAACGTTTATGAGATATCAACATGAAACTTTATAGGTGGATAGATCTTACTCAGGAGGTGTGCAGTGCACAAGAATGATAACTCTACACTTCATTATAGTTGAATTATTGCACTTTGTTATTTTTCATTCTTAATTTTTCACCTGAGTGGAGCATAACTCAAAAAGTCTTTGAGATGTCAACATGAAACTTCATAGGTGGATAGATCTTATTGAGGTCAAGAAAGATAACCCTTCCCATTATAATTTTTGAGTTATTGCCCTTTGTTATTTAACACTTTTTGTCAGGAGCATATCTACAAAATTTATTTGAGATATCAACTTGAAACTTTATAGGTTGATAGATCATATTGAGGAGGAGTACAGTGCACAAGAATAATGATTCTATCCTGCATAATTTTTCAGTTATTGCCCTTTGTTATTTTTCAAATTTAATTTTTGTCCATAGCATAACTCAAAAAGTTTATGAGATATCCTCATGAAACTTCATAAATGGATAGATCTCACTCAGGAGGTGTGAAGTGCAAAAGAATGATAACTCTGCCCTTCATAATATTTGAGACATTGCCCTTTGTTATTTTTTATACTAAATTTTTCACCTGAGTGGAGCATTACTCAAAGAGTCTTTGAGATGTCAACATGAAACTTCATAGGTGGATAGATCTTATTGAGGAGGAATGCTGTGCACAAGAATAATAACCCTTCCCATTATAAATTTGGGGTTATTTTCTGTTATTTTTCTAACTTTTTGTCCGAAGCTTATCTCAAAAATTGTTAGAGGTATCAACTTAGAATAGTCTCCGTCCGTCCGTCCGTCCGACATTTTTGTCCGGAGCATATCTCAAAAAGTATTTGAGGTATCAACTTGAAACATCATAGGTGGATAAATCTCATTGAAGAGGAGTGCAGCACACAAGAATGATAACTCTACCCTGCATATTTTTTCAGCTATTGCCCTTTGTTATTTTTCGTCAAGAGCATTACTAAAAAAGCCTTTGAGATATCAACATTAAACTTCATAGATGGATAGGTCTCATTGAGGAGGAGTGCAACACACGAGAATGATAACTCTACCCTGCATAATTTTTCAGTTATTTTTTATGCTTAATTTTTGTCCAGAGCATAACTATATAAGCCTTTGAGATATCAACATGAAACTTCATAGGTGGATAGATCTCGTTGAAGAGGAATGCAGCACACAAGAATGATAACTTACCCTGCTTTATTTTTCAGTTATTGCCCTTTGTTATTTTCAGCCATCAGTATTCAAATAGGTTTCAAATCTGTAATCACTTCAGCCATCAGTTTTCATTACCAAAAGACCTCTTAAAATTGAATTATTCTGCTCTACTACATATATATTCTTCCAATGAGCAAACACATTTGGCGAGGGATGGCCATGTTGACATGGCTCTTGTCATATTTATGTTGGCTGCCATCAATGTACCTTGATCTGTAGCTATCACCAACAATCTTTTTACTAAATAGATATACTCCTAACAGAAAATAAATAGGGACCTTTGGTATTAAAATGAGAATTTTAGAATAAAACTGTATAAAACACAAGAGCTATTTGTTAACAATTATAATAAAAGGTAAGCAGCAAACAATTGAAAAAAAACAGCAAATGATTACCTTGAACATGGAAATGTAAAATTCATGTATGCAAAAGAAAGTTTACATACCCCATTTAGAGCAGTAACCATACAAAGTGTAAGCAGAAGTTTCAGCATGTTGCAGCAAATTTCTTTTCTACGATGCAAAGTAGTCCTAGCCAGTGTGGAGATTTCATACAAATCCTTGGTATTTATACACATAATTTGTTCTATAAACCATTATCTGTTAATCAAAATAACGTCATTGCATATTACTTGAATGATTCCTTTATCTTTAACAAAAAGCATTCGTTGACGTTATAAAGGCAATATATTATTGCTGGTTAAGATACCCCCATTTTATCACATTCTATTTTTGTTTACCATAGTTTATTTTTCAATGTATAAGAATGGTTACAGTTATAAAACAAGTTAAGTATACTAAAAGATACAAGAGGGAGCCCCAAGTAAATTCACTTGACGACAGTGGCCCCAACAGCAATAGTGTAAGTCTTGCTTATCCACACTTTAAATACTAAAGACGGATTTCCAAACCACATAATCGAGTATCGCATGTACATTTATACAATATAAACTTTAAATATGTTTTTTTACTGAAATAATGTTATTCTGTATCATTTATCAAAATGTGTATTAGATATTTTCGAAACTTAATTCAGTTAGGGTTTTCAAACTTTGATTAAAAGAAATGCCTTAAAGCAATATATTATACTTGTGTTGTAAAGTAACGAAACACAGCCTGTCTCTATTACAAAAGCACTGTCATTGTTCAGAAAAACAAACATTTGGAGTTATCTGATGAAACGTTACATGCTAACAATAGGCAGTCAACACTGCATTAAACGGATTGTTATTCAAATGATAATACATCTACATAATTATCTATAAGGTATTTGAAGTGAGGTTTTCCAGCTCATGTAGATTATGTTCGTAAACTAGATACATGGTTTGAATGACAATAAATGGTATTATTAAAGGATGGTTGTATGACGTGTTCCTCATCAAAAAAGAACTTTATAATAGTTTTGTTAATTGCATAGCATCAATTGTAGAGCGAGCTAGGCACAATCAGTTTAAAAGACAATGACAAACGTAAAATACATATTGCCTATAGTTGTATTCTATATTCGTATTGATAACTGTGATATTAATAAATTCGAATTTTTTAAGTATCCAGTATGCTGACCAAGTCATTCTGGCGTCCACCAAGATGTTTGATAAAAATGTAGCAATTTATCTGTCTGTCCTAATCTATACTTAGAGAATATACCTTGATTTTGAAATTACTAGTTCTTCAAATAAATCAAGTTCATTTATATTAATGGCCAAAGTGTGTCAAGGAAATGTTTAATTTTATTATATACATGTATATATAAAGTTTTCTCCCTTAGTTACATGCAGTTGTATACATAACACAGACAAATAAATATTTTTCATTGTCATTCTCTATATCAATATTTTGATCTCGACATTGGGCATTTCATTCGACATATTATGCACTGTAATTTAAAGTATGAAAGTTACCGGATTAAATTCCACATTAATTGTCAGTTCAAAATGATTCAAGTAAGGTGCAGTAAGACTTTCAGAAGCTACTTCCGTGTGTTTACAAGTGTCACTAAGAGAATTTGTTAATTGTTAAGACAGTTTTAGTATTTGGAAGAGTTTAAGTCGCCTTCTTACGCCTTCATTTCCTCGGGATTGATGTACTTCGCTACTGAACAAAAACTTACAA